TTTTTTTTTATTTTTAAATAGAATTCACTTATACTAAGAATTAATGTCATCAATGCAGACAGTTCAGGAGCTACATTTCATTTTTAAATATTTCATCAGGTAATTATTTAGCAACATTGAATTCACAATCACAAAACTGTTCAGTTTAATTTTGTGTGGGCAATGCAATGCTCAATAATGCAGATAAGCCCAGAAGAAAAGAAATCATAGAACAGGTAAAATTAGTGGAATAAATTTAGTGCAGAGCTAGTTTCATTATAATCAGAGAATAAAAAAAAATGAAAGGTTCAACATGATTTCATTAATTTATCATGCTTCTTTTTTGTTTTATAAATTGAAAGAGTTTAGATTGAAGAGAGAAAAAGAGAGAGTTTGGTGCACATGTTAAGTTTTCATTCCACAAAAAGTATTTAGATATTTATGTTCAACCCATTAAAGTTAAAAGTATCCAAAATGGCTACTCTCAGAAGCTTCATTTTCACAAGATAGAAATTGACTTTTTACTTTTGATATTCACAGTATATATAAACTACATATAGTTTCCAGTTTTTTAGCAAATTATAAAAAAATTGATAATTTGAATTTTGTAATAAAAAAAAAATAATGCATAGTTTTTTTTTGTTTTTTTTTAAAGATTTTGCTGATTTAAAGAATGTGGAAGAATGAATTTGTTAACTCAATGATGAATATTACAATATTTGATATTTTAACAAAGATGTGTAATAAATACAACAAACTTTAATTTCAATTAAAAATATGAAATAATAAAAAATATCATTACTTTTTAAATTAAATTTTCCTTTTAATTTTAAAACTTTAATCCTGTTCTTTTATTGTCCTATCTGTTTCTGTCCCTTGTATCTTAGTGGCTTTATTGCCTTGCTTGAAATGAAATGATTAAAAAAATATTCTGTTTGAGGACGATCAGACTGATAGATAATTATTCAATATATTTAAAAAGAAAAGTTATTTATATTTTCTAAAAGCATTTGTGCACAAAATAATGGCCGTTTTTGCTTATATTGTGTGTGTGCATGAGGGAAAGAGAGATAAGTATAGTCAGACCACTTTATAAGTGCTACTAGTACTATGTAACCCAGTACTACCTGCTGCATAGTTGGGTTATCAGTGACTAAACCTGTTACACTAATAGTTTTCTTCTGTAAAAAACTATGACTAGACACTCCAGAAATGTTAAAAACAAAATCTGTCAAAGGGCAGATAAATCCTCTCATGGGATTAACAGCCACCTAGATGAGTATAATAATGTGTGTATGTATGCATATACATACATGGCAAAAGCAGAGTATAATAACGTTTACATATACACACACATTGTAACCTGTGGTAATTCAGGTCTTGTATACCCCCAGAAAAACTGAGTGGTATCTTGAAACTACAGTGGTCCCTAAAGGTGCTCCATCAATCACTACTCCATGAGTAAATCTTGGTTGGTCAGTGGTTAAAGGAACAAACTTTGACCACAAATTTGTAGTTGCATAATCCAAAAAGGTTGGACTATTTGCAGTTCCTTGAAGCTTTTGCCGGATTGCTTATGCCACAGGAAAAATATCTGATGGTGTGAAGACTGTAGGATTGAGGGCTGCAACCCCATATTAAAGAAGTACCTGAATTCCTGCTTTTGCACAAAATTCTTGCTTCATCTGGAGTTAGTGTCATTGTTGTATGCAAGGGACACTTTGAACATAGGTAAGTATTAATCAGACAAAAACTGTATAGCCAAAATAGGTAAAGAGGCAGTGACAGAGAGGTAAACATGAAAGATATTAGTTTCTCGGACATTGTTTTAAGTTTGGAAACAATACGTAGCCATATATATCTATGAAAAGTCATTGTATGATTAAAAAAAAAAAGCAATAAGAAATGTATTTAGCAGTAAATCTTTCCTGTAATGCCCTTTTTGGATATAATGGCTCAAAGCATATCCATTGCTATACAAGTAGATATAAACCAGAAGCTGAGACAATTAAGTTTGTCACTACAATTCAATCTGTAGTGACTGAAGGAGGGAAATAATGCATGAATGCAGAATGTAATCAGCTACAAAAAATAGCTGATACCAATGAACAAAAGCGAGTACTGGTTTAATTACTAGAGAAGAAAGAATCACTTTATGCCTACGAGGTTTCCAGTGGAAACTTAAAAGAAATATTCAACATTTATAGACATGCTTAAACCTTTTTCTGTAACGCTTCTCTCTCTTTTCCTCTTTCTCTCTTGTTCATCAGACATATTTATAACAGAAATATTCAAGAAAATGATTTTTTATAGGTTTGAAAGAATTCTGAATATACATTGATGTATTAGGTCAAGTAAAAATGCCACAGCACCACAACTGATATTTATACCAATTTGGGTACTGATTTTACAAATACAGGTTGGCCATCACTAATCTGGCATTATTGGGAGCTGTAGGGTACCTAATAAGTGATTTTGCTAAGTTACATTAGAATACACTTATCCCAACAGCTAACCACTTCATCCTAACTTTAAAGTACCCTGTAAATCAGTACATGTTGGTTAATAAAGGAAAAAGAAAAATTAAATAAAAATCAAGTGGACAATGTATGGAGTTTGCACTTTACACCACGAGAAGAACTTTCTGTATTCATTATAATTATGATTGAGATTACATGTCAGCAAAAAAAAAATGCACAAAAGACAAGTAGAAATGCCTTACCAGTGTTTGAAAGTGCTCAAAAAGAGCTAATGCGGCAGCTTGCCCCACCAAACAGTAGTAGCTGGTTCGTGCAGTGATCTGAGAAACCTGAAATTTCTCTTGTGGAAATTAGTGCCATGTTACTGACTGAACTGGATTACTGATTACCGGAATAGTGATGATCAACCTACGCAATTAGTGACTATCATGAGAAATGGTTTAAATGGCTGTTCATTGACTTGAATTCAAATCAGCCATTTCATTAAAATGGTTAGTAAAAAATATCTTTACTAGTAGGGCTGTACTAACCCCTTATGTTTACCCCTTATGGGTGTGAAATAGTAATTCTAAAACACATTTCATTAGTTATTTGACCTGAGAGATTGTTCATTACAGAAAAAAATTTAATGTTGAGTGTTTTTACAAATGTTATTATTGCTTTTCAAAAATTTAAAATGTAATAAATATTTTGAAATTCATATCAAGATAGACAAGATACATTTGTATCATAAAAATCAACTTGATTTAATTTTTTTTCTTGTCAATAAAGGAATGTCCTTTAGGATTTTATAAGCATTGTTTCCCAGAAAGAAAACAAATAAACACAGAAACAAGGTGCATCCTCTCAATGAAGAAAACTTCTTTTTATATAGAAGAAATAAATTTACATTATCCAGCTAAAAAAGAAGTAGAGTGAATATTTTGTAATAACTGACACTTATGGATAATTAAATATACAAATAAAAAAATTTCTATATTTTAACTTAAGAAAAAAAAAAATAAATAATAATAAAAATAAAATTAAAAAAATAAAAATAAGATAAAAAAACAATGAAAATAAAATAAAAACTATAATAAAAATAAAATATAATAAAAATGAAATAATAATAATAAAAAACTGTAGTTGAGTTTTTCCTGATTTTAGACTGAGGAAAATAAATTGGAATTTAATACAAGCTTAAGGAATGTGATTTTCTTTTTAATGCTTTTTACCCCCACCCTTAATATTAACACATAAAGATAAACTTTTAAAACGAATAGAAATTTTAATAAAGGTTTTTATAGGAAAAAAAAAAACAAAAAACAATTTGTGGCACAGATATTTGTGAAACTATATTGCATCAGCTAATATGAATGTAGATGTTATTTCAACACAGTATTTCTAAACACATTTCCCAAGATGCAACAAATACTCATAAAGATTCTTTTTAATACGTTCATAAGGGCATAACACTGAACTTCTTATCAACATCAGCAAAGACATAACTTTAATTAAAATGCATTAAACATTGTGATTGTAATATACACGTTAAAACTTTAGTTTAATGTTTTCTGTTCCCATAGGTTGCAACATATATATGTATATATATAAGAGTTTTTATAATAAATTTCTATAAATCATTAAAGAACTCTTTGATGTGTGCGTGTTTTAACTTTTTATAATTCAAAACATCACTAGGAAGACTTTTCTTCCTCTTTTTAAATTTATGAAACAATCTTGAAACTTAAAAATATTTCAGTAAAAAAAAAAAAACCATCATGCGCATTTTGAATATTTTTTTGGAAGTAAATATAATTTTTGTATTTTTTTTTTTTTTTTTTTTGTTTGAATAAAATCCTTATAAGGATGGTATAAAAAGCAACAGTAATTAACAATGATGAATAAACCCCGGACAAACAAATTATTGCAGAATTTAGTAAGTTGAATCACTGGTAAAAATCTAGAAAATTCTTCTCGTGTATATCTATGCAGTACTGTATTGAAAATATTTTCTCCCCCAATTTTTTCCTATTCTCAATAAGCAACACATTTACTGCAGATGTTTTTTTTTCTATTCCACATCTTGATGTTAATCAAGATAGAATTTAAAATAAAATCTATTTCAATATTATAATATTATCAGTATTTTCATGTATATCATTTTATATTCACATGCAGAATGTCAAAAATTATGTGTGAATATTCACACATGCATGCATGCGTACATACATACATACAAAATTTCAGATATAAGTAAAATATATCTGTAAAAGGAAATATGAATAAAGACAAATGGAAAAATTTGGCTAAGATAAATTTTCATTTTCTCTTTATTCATATATATATATATATATATATATATATATAGTTATCTTAGATAATGCTTTTCATCCTCTGATAGATATTTTCCTTGATGAAGTCCACCATCAGAGGCCGAAAGGCCTTGGCTAAGTGGCTAAGATAAGTTTTCCTTTTATCTGTACACACACACACACACATATATATATATTCATGCACACACATGCATACAATTTTGTTACTTGAAAAATTTTTTAGAGATTACTTTTTATTTTTTTTGTACTTATAAATTTTAGGTTCGTCTTCTAAATTCTCGTCACCCTCAGCACCGTCAAAGTAGATACAGAGGGATGTTTGTGACTTGTTTTTCTCGTCATCCTTCAGTAAGGCTGAACTCTCATTGACATTTATGGAATCGGAAGAGTCACATCGAGCAACCATGTAAGTTTGACTTGTGGCTGGACTGACATTGGCCGACTGGTGATGGTGGTGGCGATGACGTACAGGGCTACCCGAAGGGGAGCGCGACCGGACAATACGAGCACCTTGGCGTGCTATGCGCCCTCGTGCAGTGCCTGCCGGAGCATGGATATCAGCAGAGGGATCATCATGGGATTTTGACCTTTGGATATACCGCTGTTTACGCCGCGGCTGGAGTTGAGAAAACATTGGGGTAAGAAAAAGAAAATGTAAATGAGGATCGTGGAAGACATATGCAAACACAAAGAATCATGTTTTGTTTTCAAAGGAAGTACAAAAAAGTCACAAAAAACAATAGTCATTTTGGAACACAAATAACAATTAATACAACAGCAAAAACAACAATAATAAAAAAAGTAAAAAAAGAGCAGATGGTAATCAATAATAAATCTGCAACCCAAGTAGTCTGGAAGAAGAAACAAGTAGCTTCTTTATTTGTTAACTGAATATCATTTATATGTGAATCAGTGTGTGTGTGCGTGTATATATATATATATATATATATATATATATATATATATAAAAAAGGCTTAAACACTAATATTCCATGGTCATAATTTATTCCATTGGAATCGTAAATATGATCCAATTCATCAGACCTACAAATTCAAATGTGTATGCATGTATGTATATATATTTATATATTTTGCATATGTATGTGTATATTTACTAATAATATTATCTATATATATATATATATATATATATATATATATATATATATATATACACACACACTTCTACCAACCATCCCATAGCAATGATGGCATCAAATGCATGAGTTTAGTGTCTTTGTTTAACAGCCAACAAGAAAAACGCAGATCCAAGTTAAAATATATTTTAAAAATAATACCATACATTAAAGGATTAAGCAGAAATTTGGATTTACTCAGTGAATATCCTAAAATAATATATATATATATATATATATATATATATATATATATATATATATATATATATATATATATTTTTTTATATATATATATATATATTTTATTTTTTAAAAATGTCATTTTATTTTTAGTGGTTACCCTTATTTGAGTAGATGTTTCAATTATTTATTAAATTGTGTATTTATTTATTTTTATCAATGGCCTGAATATTTGAGAAAGAGTGCCTATTTTTTTCTTTAATAAGATTTCTCAAATATTCAGGCCTGTGAACAAAAATGAATAAATATACTTTTTAATATATAAATGGAGCATCTATTCAAATATGGGTACCCACTAAAAATAATGCTTAAACAATAAAGCACACACACTATATATGTGACATCATTATATATGTATGATGTCACACATTAGGAAATGGACAAAGTTCGACAATTATTTTAAGACATTTTTATGTTTATACATTCTTTTTATAGATACAAATATTTAAGTAAATGCTCTGTTTAAATGGTAAATGTTGTTTAATTCTGTTTATTATAAACAGGCCATTTACTTAAATATTTGTATCTATAAAAAGAATGTACAAACATAAAAATGTCTTAAAATATATATATATATATATATATATATATATATGTATATATTTTATTTTTTCAAAAAAAGAACCAGTAATCTCCCTTTATACTTAATATAAAAACTTAATATTCACAATTCTAAATTAATTTTTTTAACACACACACACACACATATATATAAATCTTATTTATTTTAAATGCCAAATATATATTTAAAATAAAAAAAAATGTAATCTTAATATATGACTGCTAACATTGTGATAATGAGATATTTTTATTAAAATTTAAACTATGTAACGGCCTGTCTATACTCAGCACATGAAGAGTGTATTGTGCATGAAACTCTGTATTGTGCTTAGTGAGTGATAATATGTATATTTATTACTATATACTTAATAGCTCTGTTTTATTACATTGAGCACTGTTTTATTAATGCCAGCACAATATGTGTGATATATATAAATATTCTCTAAAGAATGGGTTTTTCATTTATTAATCCAATAAATTTTTATCATTTTAAATGTTACTTTTAGTGGATACTCATATTTGAGTAGATGCTCTGTTTATTTATTAAACAATATATTTATTTATTTAATTTTGTCTACCGGCCTGAGTATTTGAGAAATCTTATTAAAGAAAAATATGTGCTCTCCAAAAGGAATCAGACTGGTGTCCCCAAGGGCAGAGGGAAACTGCTGTTAGATCTGATGTGCTTTAACAGACTCAGCCAGAAAAAAGCTTTGCCGTTCAAGCAAGGTCTGAACACTGCCTTTAAGCCAAATCCTTCTTATCATAGATTCCAACATTAACATAAAAGGGAGTGCTGAAAAATTCTTAGTATGACCTACTTCCCAAATTTCAATTTTTTCTTTTGAAGAATTAAAATTGAGGAATAATATGTCAAGTTTATTGAACTGTGGGGTGAATATATGTGGCATCACATGTGCACTTTATGGATCTAGGTTATTCTTCTTAGTTGGACTAAGAACTTTCCAGCAGCACCTTGTACATCAACATGGCAAATACAAAATGTTTTAGAATAACAGGAACTTAATTAAATTGAACACTTATAATATGGGTGGTTTTGCTTAATAATAATTTTTCATTGCTCCAAATATTTATATATCTACAAATTTTATCAATTTATCTTTATCTGAAACATGAATTAAAATTTAACTTTTTAGTTGGATTAATTATATACTGGTTACATTAAATTAAAAAAATAAATCTTATAGATAAGTAAAATTATAAATGTAGAATATCAAAGAGTAAGCTAATTTATAAAAGAATTGCAATAGGAAAACTATTCCAGTATTATGTGTAGTCATAATTAGTCAAATATCTTAAACTCTAAAATACAAGGACTAAAAGATTTATGTAACTTATCAGTTTAAAATATATTGTGAATTTAGGAATAAAATAAAAAACGAATATTAAAACATTTAAAACATTTTACAAACCCTGTACTTATTTTCACAAAAAAGAGCATTGAATAATTTCTATTTGAGTGATTTGGTTTTTTATGGTTTATCAACCTTTTGCACGTTATTTAAAACCAAAAAATGTTTAGATTGTAATAATTTTTTGGAGGTAATAATGATTTACTGATACAAGTTCTACTAATTAACCCATAAATGGGGGGAGAAGAAATAGATTCATATCTTTCTCAAGGATATTTGTGTGTAACTGAATATAACGAACCCAACTGGAATTGGAACTCGGTTCTTCAATTTCTAATTCTGAGTCATTATCCATTACACCATCTGAGCATTCAAGCTTACAACACCTAGAATTCGTAAGTGGTCACCCATCTAGGTAATGATCAGGCCTGATTTTGCTTAACTTCTGTGATCATACAAGAACCAGTGTTTCACTGTGATATGGCTGTAAACCCAATTTCCATTTGAATTTCTGGCATACAGAGTTATCATTATTTACACTATTTACATTCAGACTAATGTCCTCATCTTTGCGGTTATTATCACAATGTTTCGACTATTGTACCCTCTGGCCTTAATCAGGTGTTTGTCAATCCAGATAAACTTCAGAGAACTTTGAACTGAACCCTTTATTTAATCAACAGGGTAGGTTGTTTTTGTTCTGCTGACCATATCTTGGGATACTTCATCTAGTTCTTATTTACTACTACTCAGTTATTGCTTGCCTTCTGTTTCCACTGAGTCTAAGTACACATTGTCAAGCTCAGGGATTGAACTCACAATTACTATGTCAACAGATTCAGGAAGTGATGCTTTAATCAACTAGTCCTACAGGACAGTGTGTACAGGGACAGTGGAAACATGGTAAGCAATAAGTGAGCAGTACTAAATACAAATTTATCGAGATATCCCTAGGCATGCTCAGCAGAATCAGAACACTCTCTCTCTGTAGATTAAATAAAGTGTTCCATTTGAAATTCCTGACAACCACCTGATTGAGGCTGAAGGGCACAATAGATGAAATGTTGAGATAATAAAAATGATGAGGACAACAGTCCACTTGTGAATAGAGTAAGAGCATTGAAATTTTTCCTCAGTATATTATTAGTATATTATTTTAATAGGGAATTGCATGTACAAAGAGAATAGTTGATACAATTACTTATAAAGAATTAAACTTTGCAGAAATGATAATTAACTTAGTATAGACTTAGTATACATGTCTCTTTTGATGCAAGACAAGATTAAGCAAGAAAGTAAGTAATGGTAAGATCATACAGAGTGTGGTAGAAATACCTCCCGCATAATGGTAAGACATTAGTGGCAATGATGTTTTCATCTAGCTAATGTCTTACCATTCCGTGGGAGGTATTTCTGCAGAACCTTGTATTTAGTTCATTATTTGAACTTTTTTTCTTTTTTTTCTACTAATGTTCACCCAATATAAGGCCCAAGAGCCACTCAAGGTAGAAGATTATTGTGTGGTGTTGTATGAGTGTAAGAAAAGGCAAAAGTGCAGTTCATGAGGTTATGTAGGAAAAATAATGATTAACCCAAGTCTTAAAGAGGTTAAGATTGTAATGATTGGGGAAGCATTATCTTGGGAGTCTGTTCCACAGAGCAGTAGTTCTTGGGAAGAAGCTATCTAAGTGGGATTTACTTCTTACTCATGGAATACAAAGGGAATAGAGATGATTCAGTCTTGTGTATGAGGCATGGTGGGTTCCAGTTGCAAAGGGTCTAGGTTGGTAGAACCAAAGAATTTAGCTAGTCAGAACACATGTCATGGAAATAGCGAGCATAGAGTAGTTGTAAATTTCTTGAGATAAACTGAGCCAAATGAGTAAATAATCATTATATGAAAGAAGGTCAATTGGTCAATGTAATTGGCATTAATTTAGCATTTATTTGAAATTCTTCACACTGAGTATGAAGGAGAAAAAAGAAGGCAAAGATGACAGTGATGATACTGATGGTAGACCATGTTGGTGAGCTCTTCATCTTGGTAAACTCCTTTAGTCTGTATGAAAGTATTGAAAAATACTACAATAAAAACAAGGTAGACTCTTGGGTTGCAAACATGTTGAAGCTTGCATGGGTAAAACTGGAAAGAAATCAATGTGCATGGGACCCACATAGATCAATAAATTGAACAGTGTGTGCATATATATATTCCCTTCTCCGTAGTGTGTGCTGATGACCTAGGGGTGAGAGTCTCCGACTGATGTCAAACCAGTTGGATTTTGATCCCAGCTCAAAGCAACTGGATGTCTAGCCACACTGATGAGCTGTGATACAGCAAAACAGTCTGTCTCAGATGACTATATATATATATATATATATATATATATATATATATATATATATATATATATGCACACACATATGCATATATCATACCTACATACATATATTCTAAATATATGAGTGTGCATACAAACACATATTTATTCATATATATGTATATGAATATGTATAATATGTTTATGTAAAATACATATATTTGTATCAAATAAGAAAAAAGTATAATGTTGGCATGCAGCAATAATGAATAAGTGGTGTGGCAGGTAAGTAATGGTGGCAGTGGTATGGCAGTGGTGGTATTTGAACGTAGGATCACTGAGAGCATATGGTGAGGTGGTATATCTGTGAGGACGGAGACACAGAGAGAGACATGCATGCGTGGTTCGTTGACTTTGGACAACTTCAAATGAAAGATAAAATATTAATAGATAAAAGAAAAAATATTTTAATAAAGCAAATGGAGCATTTATCAAAGGCTACCTGGTGACCTTAACCATAAGAAATGTACAATTAGTAATAACAGGTAAAAAGGTACTCTTACTATAAGAATTGACACAGAGTGAGGAGATATTTTAGATGATACCTTTCAGGATTTACTGATAAACTCAAGGTTCAGGTGAGAAAATAACTAAAAAAACAAATGATAAAAATAGCAATAATTAAAATAAAATGAATTTAAAAATTTATAATCTACTAAAGAAAATAAAGTTGGGATGGATAGGAAATATTAACTAAGGTACAATTTTTTTTTGTTATTAAAACTTGAATCCGTATCATTAAAATTCAGATCCATATTTTCATATTAAAACTTGGAACCGTATTTTCATATTAAAACTTGGATATGTATTTTCCTATTAAAACTTGGATCTGTATTATTAAAATTTAGATCTATATTTTCTTATTAAAATTTGGGTATGTATTTTCTTATTAAATCTTGAATCTGTATTTTCTTAAAACTTGGATACGTATTATTAAAATTTAGATCCATATTTTCTTATTAAAACTTGGATCCATATTTTCTTATTAAATCTTGCATCTGTATTCTCTTATTAAACTTGGATCCAGACATTGAAAGATATTTTCTTAGAAGCTGGAGATCTAAAGCTGCAAGAATGATAGAATGCAGTGAGGCAAGTGTATTGAACAAGACATAACATAGGGTTGGAGGAATGCAAAAATACACATTGGGAGAGAAACGGAAACAAGATTACACATTAATATATAAGAGTGGAGATAGCTGGTCACTTTGTGGTTTACTGCAAAACATGTGTGTGTGTAAATATATATATATATATATATATATATATATATATATATATATATATATATAAGATGAAAAAAGGCATTGATACTCATAGTCAGTAATTAGCAGAAGCTCTGTGATTAAAAACAAGAAAAAACATGAAAACCCTATATGAGTTTGTATGAGAATGGAAATATTTGTATTAGAGCAAAAACAGGCAAAACATTGAAAATCTATTTTACCACAAGTTTCAAGAGAAAGATTAAATTTCAGGCAACTATCTTAAATTCTGAGATGATTAAATTTCAAAAGGATAAAAATGATTTAAAAAAAAAAGTAAAAGGAAAAAATGATGCATTATATAAAGATACCAGTATATATAATATATATATATATATAAAATATATATATATAATATATATATATATATATATATATATATATATATATATATAATATATATATATAAAATATATATATTATATATTATATATATAAAATATATATATAAATATATATATATATATATATATATATATATATATATATATATATATATATATATATATAAATATATATATATATATATATATATATATATATATATATATATATATATATATATATATATATATATATATATATATATATATATATATAAATATATATATATATATATATATATATATATATATTTATATTATATATATATATATTTCTTATGTTTAATTTTCAAACAACTTAATATTTATGATTTTATTATTATAATTAGCTGTTTCTTTGAAAATGCAATTCATTTTCTGTAATTCTTTGAAATATTCATTTTTTTTATAATTTTTTTTATAAACTTTTTGAATACAGAAACAATCTCACGAGAAACAATGAAGTAGCAATACCTTTTTCTGATTTAAAGAAATAAAAGGAAAAAAGGTAAGAAAACAAAAACTACTAAGGCAGAAGCAACTCAAAAGACAACAAGACAAATAAACACAACTTAAGATGCTATTAAGAATATCTGTCCACACTGAGAATATGGCACTTCCATGAGATTCTTTAAAACTCTAATCCATTTTGGTTTCTGGGAGGCAGCAGCCACTTTTTTTTTTTTTTAATTGCTTGAAAAGGTAAAGAGAATGTTGGAATCATCATCACCACCACCAACATCAATGGATAGAAAATAGATCTTTATGATTAGAATCAAAGACAAGTATCAGATCTGATATGGAGAAAAGAGGTCTTTGTAACTAGTTTTGGGATATCTACTACCAAAATACTGCAGTGGAATTGGAAATTATTTTTCAACAGATATAATTTTCATTTGTAGTTTTCAAATTGAGAACAGACATCTAAAAAAAAAAAAAAAAAAAAAAAAAGAAGACATCCACAAAAATCATGGGAGAGTTCTTTAGTCAACTAAAAAAAAAAAGTTGCAAAGCTATAAATTTTAATAATGACAAAATATACTGTCATGCTATTCAAGAAACTATAAGTTACAATTCAGATGAGAAGCATAATTAGAGATTATCCATAGATGTTTATAATCTTAGGTAAAAACAGAAATATTATCACTATAGAAATTTAAACCAGTTCTCATAAAACAAATTAAAAGGTTAATGATTTAATAATTAGGGTTTTATTTAAAGTAAATATGATCATAGAAAAGTAAGGAATAGCCAACTGATTTGAAATGTTTGTTTGCCATGAAAACTATTTCTCCTGAACAGTATGGAAAATATGTTGGAAGATGACAAGTACCTTCATGTAATCTATGGAGACTGTACAATGCTATTTTTTCATTTGTTTACAAACTAAATTTTTTATTCTTTATCCAAAATATAACTAACTGAAATTGAATGTCAGTCTTCAAAAACCATTCTTAAAGAATTTTCTCTTATACTAATAG